AAAACAAAAACAAAAAAACAGACAGGGGTAAATGATCGGAAATTTTGCAATATATATCTTGTCACTTGATACTGTCAAGTTACTGCATATATCTGACTGTTTTTAAGGATCATTTCAGGTCTTTAAAGGAGTACCAATTTACATTTCCATAAATCATATTGTAGACAGTCACCATAGACTTTGATGGTGAATGCAAAATTATATATAGTTTAGACTCCACCAGCATGTTAATATACCCCTGTTTTTCTATACAGTATTTTAATATCGATGTCTCTCATGTAAACAATGGATAGTTCCAAACTCAAAATAAGACAACACATGCATTGTATAAATTCAGCAAGGTACATGTAACAATTAAACTTCATCTTATTCTGTGCATGTAGCACTTTCAGATGGAAACAAGTGACTGGCAGATGGGTAGATCCCTCAATGGTTGTTTAGGAGAATTGTTTCATAAAAAGCTTTGGTCAGATATAAGCTTCCGATGTAAAGACTCAGACCAGCTACCTCAGAACAGTATTCAGGCACACAAGATCATTCTTGCTTCAAGGAGCCCTGTGTATCAGGTATTTATCCAGATCTTTTAAAGATAATGTAAGTTAAAGGTTTGTATAATACCTCTGACCTTTAATTTTTTCATTTGTAGCACAATCCAGGGGCTTTTTTTTTGCTTCATAACAGGGGCCTTAAAAAGGCACAGGTCTTCACAATTTATAGAGGATCCCTTCACAGTTCCATAATGCTCTAGGTTCACAAGTGAAAGAAATGCCACAGTATTACAACAAAATTTCTAAGTACATTGTATGTTTGGCAATGTCACCTTTAAACCCTGAGATATTTTAAGCTATTTATCAAATCAAGAAAAGTATTGATGTTGACAAATTGTGTTGATGTTGTGCTTCTGCTTTCACAATTTTAAGAAAAATTACGTTTAAACTTCAAATTAGTATGAAAATTGTGCTTTGTTTTTCACAAATCAAAAAGACCCAGGCCTCTTCGCAATTTTAAGGAAAAAGCTGTGGTATAATGTATAATAAGATACAACAGATATTAAGTAGTGTAATATGAAAGTAAGATTAAATGTCTGTGTTTTAATATTTTTTGTACTGTATTATTTTGCATACAGTGTAAAATTTGTATTTGCATTATATTTTTGGATTCTATGTCAATTCCACAAACCTTTATTGGTACATGTAATTGTCAAGTTTTATCATATTTACCTGTTGGAAAGTCAGGGTTGCAACCTTCCTGAGTTTTAGAATAGTTATTATAAACAAAATATTCAATATGTTGTACTTAAATTTTTGAAGTGCCTCTGTAATTAACATATGACAACATGAGATCCAAGGTCAAGTGGATATGACTTACATCTTGCAAACTTTACATTGTAAGCTAAAAAGAACTGGTTTCTATTTCAGTGTCAAAAACTCAAAAATCAAATTCTAAGTGACCTTTAACTGTATATTGTTCACTGACATGGGATAATGTTGACTTATAATGGATCTCTTTGTTTTAAATGTTAATCAATTTGTGCCCAGATCAGGTTTATGTTTGTTACACTAGCTGAAAAGCTAAATACATGTATACTTCTATGTGAGAGGGGAGCATTTTATAATCTAAACTAAATTATATTTTTACTTTTCAGGCAATGTTTTATGGACCATGTGCAGACACAAATCCGGAAATAGAGTTGTCAGATACTGATTCAAATACATTTAAGCTGTTTTTGAAGTGAGTAATTCATCCCCAAACCCTTGTATATCCCTTGCCACTTTTTTCAAGGAGACATTGTTTGATTGTCTGCCAGTCACATTATATTAAGATTCAGTCACTTAAGCCCATAGAAGAAGGACCTGATTTTTTTGGTCATTATGTTAAAAGTTGAGGCACAGTGGCTTTTGAAATATTCTTCAGCTTGATTACTGTCAAGTTTCATTTGACCCTTGCCTTAGACTTACATTTCACATTAGTAGATGACCTATATAGTTCTTGTAATTTGTTAGTCAATAATTCAGGTAGCATTGCCACATACTTTGGAAACTGCTTCATTTCAGTAACTTAAGTGTCATGCTACCTACAGCTTTCAAACTTCATATGATGGTTGGCTACGGTAGGTCACATCAACAACACTGAGTTCTTATAGCAAAACTCATACTTTCTGTACTGAGTAAAGAAAATTTAAGAGCCATACTTTGATTATCTCAAACAAAAGAAGCCTGAAGGCATCTGGGTAGAAGCTCCAATATTTATGTAGACAAGTGTGTATGAATATTTTTCACATGAACAACTGAATAACAAAATCATTGTGCATAATTGAATAAACACACAACAGATAAATATGTATATCATGTATATGCACAAAATTTGAAAGCATATATTTTTATTTACATTAAATATTCTTGCAGCAGTTGTACATTTAGGGAGAAGAAAACATACAATTACAAAAAAAATTATGCCAGCACAGGCCATTGCAGCATGATTTTTGTGTCGCCTCTACGAAGTAGTGGCGACATATAGGGATCACTTCTCCGTCGTCTGTCTGTCTGTCCGTCCGTCCGTCACAAAACTTGTCCGTACTACTCCTCAGAAACTACTGGTGCAATTTCATCCAAACTTTACAGGAATGATCAGTACCAAGTCTAGTTGTGCATATTGTCAGCATTTTCCGGTTCAATGATTTCTGTCAGAGTTATGGCCCTTTAATATTTTTTATTTTTAAAGTTTGTCCGGACTACTTCTCTTATACCACTAATGCAATTTCAATGAAACTTTACAGGATTGATCTGTAGCTCAAGTCCTTGCGCATATTGCACGGGTTTTTTGGTTGAATAATTTTTGGCCAAGTTATGGCCCTTTGATAAAAAGGTGTTTTTTTCTGTGTGTTGCCAGATACACAAAAGCTTGTCCGGACTACTCCTCATTAACTACTCGTGCAATTTCATCCAAACTTTACAGGAACGATCAGTACCAAGTGCAGTTGTGCACTGTCCGTCTGTCTGTCCGTCTGTCACAAAACTTGTCCCAACATGTAATTGGCCATCATGAGGCGACACATGTGATTACTGATCGCTCTTGTAATGCTTTGATAGTCAAGACTCAGGGTGCTATGTAAAAATAGTTTATTGTAAGGAGAGCCTGGTTTCATTATCGAACATGAATGTCAAATGACACCACACTGGCATGTTACTGGTTTCTTTGTAAGAAAAATGAATAATGAAACACAGAATTACCAAATACTAAAGCACAAATATACTTACCCATACACACCACTTTTATGCAAGAATAGTGCTGATGCATCTTTGTTTAAGCATTGGCATGGATAGAAGCCATTATATAAAATTTAGTAAGAAAATGATCAAAACTATCATCATAAATAATTTTATGTTGAAAATATGTTGTCATTTTCTAATGCAAGGACCATGAAAAACTGCATCTCACATTTTGAAACTAGACCAAAATTGTCACCTAATTCAACTCAACCTTATTCAGTACATTTTCATATCTCAAATACAAAGTATAGATTACAGTGATTATTGGTTATGTTTTTTTAAACTATGTTAGCTATTTTCTTCACATATGATATGATTTTTATTTTCCAGATATCTCTATACAGACAGTACAGATCTAACAGAAGAATCAGTCCCTGCTGTGATGCAGATTGCTCACAAATATCAGGTTACAAGTCTGCTCACATACTGCTCACAATACCTCATCTCTATACTACGAGCAGACAATGTCTGTGCTGTACTTGAACTAGCATTGTTTTTTGAGGAAAAGAAACTTGAAGATGAGGCAGTCAAGTTCATTGATGACAATGGTGAGAAGGTGCTCAAATCAGATGGTTTTTATGACTTGCAGCAGACGACACTTGAATACCTTCTCAAAGGAGATACATTTCTGGCACCAGAGAAGTATATTGTAAATGCTGCTATAAGATGGGCTAAAGGCAAATGTAAGACTTTAAATCTTGAAGAAACTGGTCCAAATATCAGAAAAGTACTTGCAGGGGCATTTAAATATCTACGATTTCCAACATTATCAGCTGAAGAATTTTCAAAGCTAACATACAAGCAAGGTCTTTTTAGTTTCGAAGAGCTAGAGGAGACAATCAGTTATATAACAGGTAATATTAACGCCCAGCCATTTCACTCTGTTAGACAGAGAAGGCAAAGAGCTGTCAAATGTCGACCAAAACATATCAGAGAAAACTTCACAGGTCATCTAGAGTTTATTCACTATGTCAATGTTACTACAACTGTTAGGGTGAGATCTAAGGACTTTCTAGTTTTGACTGGTTTTTCAATGTCAGGACTGATCAAAAGCCCAATTGTTCCTGACTTTATAAATCCTAAAACCATGTATACATTGGGGGTCTCTATTTCTAAAAGCCAAGATGGTGAAGATCTGATATTTCCTAAAATGTTCTACAACAATGTTGAAACCCATAAGATGCAAGAGTTCCACCTGGTTCAAAAAGTTGAAATGGAAAAGTCAACTCAGTTGTACTTGATATTTCACATTATGAGTGATCCACACTGTATGGTATTGATTCCAGAGGTGAAACCCTCCACTGTACCATTCTCACCACCAGAGATCACTGACATTGGACAGGACATTGGTTTTCGGGCACTTGAAGCAACATACATGGACAGTTGGCGATTCATGGACCATATATTGTACGAGTCACCGTCAAAAAGATAAAAGTTTTGTCATGATATCTAAATAAATTCAAACCTGTTGTTACAAACCAACTCAGGATAATATTTAATTAGATAAACCATCTGTTGAGTTTCTCCACTCATTATTGGGCATTATTAGATGGTTTTGTTTGACACATTATGCATACTTTGATATTGGCTGATAAGTATTCTTTATATTGATGTGTATTTTTTTTTTCAATTATTAAATTCATGTGTGATGGTAGCTAAATTAAGTCTTTTCAATTTTTTTTTTTTTTTTTAATTATTCAATTCTCTGATGGCAGTTACAATTACAATTTCTGAGATATTTAAAACTTTTTATTCCAAAATATGATGAATTTACTATGTTCATGTCTTTACATCTTATTTCTATAATTCAAAGAAATTCATCAACTTGTCACTGCCACTTTGTCATTTCAATGATCTGTAAATAGAAAGGAATAAAATAATGAATAAAGCAGAAGGTACAATTGATATTAAAATTTTTAATGGATAAAGTAAATTGAAAATATCTAGATTTTGTGTTACAATGGCATTATGAAAGTTAAGGTTAAAATACCAAGAGAAATGTTGATGGATATGGATTTAGTTTATGTGTTACATGTATTATTAAATGTTACAGATGTTTCTTGACTTTATTATTTATGGACTCTTTTATTATTTATGGAACCGCCTCTGTGGTCGAGGGGTTAGAGTCGATGACTTCTAATCCAGTTACCTCTCTGGCGTGGGTTCGATCCCCGGGAGATGCTTTGGTAGTTTAGCGCTGAGGAAGGTAGTCTAGTACTGGTGTAACTCTCCAGGAACGATGGTTAGGAAACTACCCGCCTATATGACTGAAATACTGTTGGGAAAAGGCGTAAAATGAAACAAACAAACAAACATTATTTATGGACTACTTTATTATTTATGGATTACTTTATCATTTATAGACTAGAGTGTTATTTATGGACTAGAGAGTTATTAGGGACTGATTAGATATCAGATATCTGTTGTATGTATTATATGTATTTATATATAAGCTTTTTATCACATGGCACTGCTTGTTTGTGCTCATACATTCCTTTTAATGCACATGTTTAATATAAGATATCACAATGCCATTGTGCTATGTACATATACATAGGGTTATTTTGGCATCCTCGTTTGTTCAATATATTGTTTTAGTCTCATATTTATTTCAAATGTATTGGACCAACGTAATAGTATTTTACTCTTATTTAATTTTTACTGTGTGGATTGATTTTTGTGAAATGTTCACAATGCATACATTGTAGTGTTATTCAGTTTGAAAGAATATTTGTTGCTGATGATATACTGACACTTTATTGTTGTTACATTTTTTTTTACAATTTATGCAATGCATTGTACATGTACTGAAATTTTAACTGACATGTTTGACATATGGAACTTTGAATATAACTTTCAAGATTTGTGTACCAATTTGCTCTGGACTTCTTACTTGTGTTCAAAATTGCAGATCATTCCCTCAATCAGTTTTTTTTTTCAGAGTAATCACTTGAACTGTGTAAAATGACCAAAAACGAAACATGTGTGAATGTTTTTAACACAAAATTAAACTAAAAATCATGCACACACAATTTTTTTTCAATTTAGTTCAGATTATGTTTTTTTATTGTCTTTTGCAAAGTTTTCCATTTTTAATTGCCCAAATTGATATATACAAGTATTTCAGTTTTTTAAAGACATTTGGACATCAAAAGAGCACTTTAAACAATCAATATGCAGTATATATACCTGTACAAGTATATTCATATAAATAGACTGACCTTTCATATGTTATCTTAAGATCCATTTGTTATGTAAATATACTAAGACAATATTTTCAGATAAACAAAAAGACTTGAAATTAGTGAATACATGTTTGGTATTAGAAATCTCAAAACTTTTATTAGTCGTTAAAGAAACTTTTTGAGATGTTCAATTTGGTCAATAAATATACAAGTATGTATTAGTTTCATACATACAGTATAGAAAGTACCGTAAATTTGATAATTCTATTTTCTTTTTACTCCTAAAATTCATTTTATGGTTTTAAGTTTATTTTTCAAAATCAATATGTTGAATATGTATCGTTTTTGTAAGCCTATTGTAAAATGTAAGTTTCAAAATCTTTTCTGCTATTTGAGTTTTTAATTAGTGAAAACTATCACCCTATTATACATGTACTTATATTCTAGAGTTGTGTAATGTGATAATGAGAATACATGTATTGAAATCTGTCCACATATGCTTTTATAGTGTATCAAGTACTTTTTGCTGTTGCTGATGAAGATGGGGACCTTAATTATGATGGATATTTATCAGATTGTTCCGAATATTTTGCTATCTAGTATTGGAATTGGTCAGGCATGCTGTCTTGTATGACAGCTCTTGGTTTATTTATTATGTTCTAACATACATGTATTAGTACATTGCTTTAGCATTAAATTTTGTGTTCTGATATACACTGTAATAAAAGATTCATATGGGCATTAAATTGTATGTTCTGATATACAATGTAATAATAGATTCATATGGGCATTTAATGTAATAATAGATTCATATGGGCATTTAATGTAATAATAGATTCATATGGGCATTTAATTGTGTGTTCTGATATACAATGTAATAATAGATTCATATGGGCATTTAATTGTGTGTTCTGATATACAATGTAATAATAGATTTGTATGGGCATTTAATTGTGTGTTCTGATATACAATGTAATAATAGATTCATATGGGCATTTAATTGTGTGTTCTGATATACAATGTAATAATAGATTTGTATGGGCATTTAATTGTGTGTTCTGATATACAATGTAATAATAGATTCATATGGGCATTTAATTGTGTGTTCTGATATACAATGTAATAATAGATTTCATATGGGCATTTAATTGTGTGTTCTGATATACAATGTAATAATAGATTCATATGGGCATTTAATTGTGTGTTCTGATATACATGTAATAATAGATTTGTATGGGCATTTAATGTGTGTTGATATACAATGTAATAATAGATTCATATGGGCATTTAATTGTGTGTTCTGATATACAATGTAATAATAGATTCATATGGGCATTTAATTGTGTGTTCTGATATACAATGTAATAATAGATTTGTATGGGAATTTAATTGTGTGTTCTGATATACAATGTAATAATAGATTTGTATGGGAATTTAATTGTATGTTCTGACTTACAATTTTGAAGTAATAAGCTATTTTACATGGGTAATTGTGTGTAGAAATAATCAATTTTAAATCAGCGTTTAATTTATGTGTGCATTATAAATTAACATGATATTACATGTGCATTTAATTGTGTTCTCATATATATGTACACTGTAATGATAGATTTTGTATGGGCATTTGATTATATGTTTTGACTTTTAAAGTAAGTGCTATTTTATAAGATTTCTTTAACATTCCTGTTTCATTTTACCTCTTAGTGGTTATTTATTTACATGTTTAACAAGTGTTTTATCAAGTCCTTAGAAAATTTTGATATTACCAACTTTAAAAGTTAGACACTGGATTAATTGACACAGTGGCATACTATATAACACATTAATGAAATAAATGGTTGTGATTTGTAAAGTAACTTACGTGTAGTCTATTTTACCATCGGCTGTCTTGTAGTCTGCAAGCATGTTGTCCAGAAACTCTGTATCAGTAGTTGTCAATTCTATTCCAGCATCCTGTTGTAATACATTCTTCTTATTAGTTTAGTTTAGTTGTAAAGTTTTAACTGTTGGAACCGAAACGTTCTTATTATCAGCATTTGCCACACAAGTGTAGAGCCAGGTCAGTCTGTATGTCCGTATATTTTGACCAGGCTCTTTACTGCTGGTAGCTCTATACTCGTACTTAAACATTGAATGAACTGTTAAAACTTAAAACAGACATATCCTTTTATACAGAAACATCAAGATCTAGTTTAAATCTAATTTCACATTCGACATTTATTAAAGATTGACATGTATTATGTCCCAGAAACGGTTTTCTTTTATTCCTGAAAAGCATTTTGTTTTAGGAGTTTTAAGAAAGTTTATACAGTAATTCTGATTTTATAAATTGTGAAAAATATCACAATGATGTGAATATAGGTCGGATCGACAATATATGTATTAAAAAAAAAACAACATTGATTGGATTTTACACAAAGGCTTATCTAAGGGACAAGAAGTCCCCTAGCAACTTTATTTTCGTTTCATCAGATGTTAAGAACTGTGTCAGTTTTCGTCAGTAAATGTATTGAATAATATTCTGGTTTTTTCTTACAAAAAATAATAAAAGGCTTTTAACTTACGACAAATCCTGAAAGGAAATCCGCCCTTGAAAGTTTTTTCTCCTTCCCTTTATCACACGTAACCATCGTATCAATAGAGAGGTATATTGTTTGTGTCACAGTATACTTTTATAATCCCCATTATATTGTCCGGGGGTCACTTCACTCATTGCTGTTCCTAGAAATTTGGCTGTAAATGTAAGAATAGCACACAAAACATTAAAATAGGGAAAACAGAATCCATAAAAAACGCCCAAAACGACAAAATTGATAATGCTGCAGGCTCGGTTTGATTGAGCCTGTTTATGACGGTACTGAAAAATGCTAAGAAAAGTCCGCGCCCCCTAGCACCGGCTTAAGAAGCATTCAACATTAAACATGAACTGTTAAAATTTAGAATTTCGGAACATCCACAGATGTAGCAGAAAAGTACATTTAGTTTTATTTTGAAAATAGACATTATTTATCAACCCCGTATATGACAAAGAAAAACTAATTTGTAAAAGGTTTTAAGGGAGACACAGGCAAAATTTTCATTTCTTCGTTTTGAATTTTTCCTTCATTAACCTGTTAATGTCTTCAAAATGAGAGCGTTAAGATTTCACTATAGTTTTCACAGTGAACTATGGACACGTTAAAGAACATGTCAAATAAATGATTTAGGTTTGTTTTAATCATATTATATCCAAAATATATGCTATTATAACTTCCAGGCTTTTGTTCAAGTCACATGACTAGTTTTAAAAAAAC